ATATATATCGATCTTAAAATAATTAAATCCCAAGAAGCTTGAATTCTGAAATTCTTCAATAATTAAAAACTTCACTCCGAAAATGCTCTGTGAAAATAAAATAAATCTAATACTAAAGATCCAAATATAATCTAATACCTAATGATCAAAAATTCGAATGTTGAAGTGTTCAAAAGTAATACATTCGAATTATTCCTCTTCGACTATTTTTATAATGCGAAACTTTTTTAGTAGCTAGAAATGAAATATAACAACAATAATGGTTGCTCGCAATGCTCGTGAGGGCTTTAATCAAAAGTTTCTTCGATTCAATTCCCACGCCACTGGACCTTTGACCCCGGGGAACCATGAAAGCAGTCGTTTATAAACAACATTCCTACAACGTTGGCAAATATAAAAGCACAGAACGCGACCGTGTGTATTAATATTAGCCAGGAGACTATTACAAAGACCAGGACAACTTCTCAATCCTGGAACACTTCGACATCGATTGTTAAATCTAACCGATTGTTAAACGTAATATGTTAAATCTGAACGAATTTATTCCGAAAGAATTTCAATGGAGAGATTCTTGAATGTCCATTGTTGAATAGTAAACAATTGACTGAAATATGTAGAATATTAGATACATGTTATAGTGAATTTCTTGAATTACTTGAAATTTTGTACACGTTTACATATAATGGTACCTTTTTTATTATCTTTATGTATACATGTATACATCCAAACTTATACATTCAAATTTGTTCACACGAAAAAATTCTTGTACTGTTTGAATATTCCAATTTTAATTAAAGTATTTCATACTTTACTCCGTAAGAAAGAGCCAGAGTAACTAGAAGCCTGCAACAAGTTGCCAGCGCGTTTCCTCAATCTCTAAAATTGAATAGCCGATTGTCCCATCGCTCGTCGCGTTATCCATTCTCAAAAATTGCCCGTGGCAATTGAAACCGACGTTCGTTACGTCGTTTCACGGTTTTCGATTTTCCCCGAGCGCGTTCGGTCGGGACACGCGTTCTTTAAATTTCCGTAAGTAGAAAAGAATCGGATTTGTCGGCGTGGCTTGGCTGGAGACCGTTCTCGACAGGTTGCCCGACGCTCCAACCGTAAATCTAATCCGACACTGTTACCTACACTCTGTTGAACTCTGCGGAGAATTTTCCAACGCTGGCGGGAAAGGGAAACAACGTTGTCTGAAACGCCGCTGAAACGGTGGCTTTTTTTTTTCTCTTTTACAGATGTCTGCAGAACCTGCACTCCAACCCCTTAAATTAATTTTAAATCTCTCAATCCTGCGCTTTTCCTCTGTAATCCTCTATCCAACAGTTGCAAGGGTTGGACGTTTAACCCCCGAGGGCCACAGGCACTTTTCAGGTCGAAAATAATGCCCTGTGCTTGAGGATTCGTTTGTGGGATGCTGAATGGTTGATTTTGTAACGGATAAATATTTTCTTTCCTTCTTGTAGTCTAGCTGACTGCTAGGCTATTACTGTGCAGTTTGTTTTGTAGTTATTCCGGACCGTTATATTCAATCATTTATAATTCAAGTAGTTGCATACGTAAGTCTCAACGTAATGGACATAACAATTTATCCATATATAAGAAGTTTGGTAACCATTAAATTATTCTTCATCTAACATATTACAAGTGCGTTTGATAATTACAATAATAATGAGCAAAATGTAATAGTTACTAAAATTTATATAAAGATTCCTTGTCACCTTTTAGGTAATGTATATCGTCGATTCGTTTCAGCCACTTATTACGAATTTTTACTCCAATTTAATTTTAGATAATATATTGCGTTGAGTTATGGGTATTATTACACGCAATTATTTTAATTCAATGAACGATATAAATCAATAGAATATGGTTCTGTCGTTTTTTGGTTGGAGGGAACGAATAAAACGGAGGAACTTACCGGACAAAATGGAAGCAATAGCTGCAATAATGAACGAGATGACGACGCCAGGTCCGGCGACGCTGCGAGCCACCATTCCAGCGACTAGGTACATCCCTGTCCCGACGCAGGAGCCAACTCCCAAAGACGTCAGGTCCAGAGTCGTCAGGCACTTCTGCAAATCAGAAAACAAGAATTTAACATCTCTATTGTCATACGTAACTTCAACGTAAACATTGCCATCTTCATAAAAAACTTCAACATAATATTCCTACTCTCATGAATAGTTTCGATTCAACAGTTCCGTTCTCATAAATCATTTCTATTTCAATATTTTTATTTCCACGAGTAACCCAAACTTTACCATTCTTTATTTCGTAAAATTCTTCGTTACAACATTCCTAAATTGAAAACTTTACCTTCAACATTCTCTAATGTCATGATAAACTTCAACTCCGATAGGTCGTTTGTTATGTAACGATGTTGAATATCCTGTTAACCGTGTTCGGTAGGTACACTTATCGTTCTCAAACGGAGAATAAAAAAGGAAGAAAATTGGAAAAGAAGAAAAGGTGTCGTTAATGAGGATAATTAACGAAAGAACCAGTATTCATAATGGAAGAATGAAAGGAAAAGAACAGAAGGAAAAGAGGGAAAGAAAGAGAAGAAAGAATGAAAAGAGAGTGAAGATCTTGTTAGGCTTAAGAGGTACATAAGAGGTTTGGCAGCATCTATACAAAGATATTCAACTGGCCCACGACCAAAATTTTAAGATAGTAATTTCTTTTCAAACAAAATGGATTTTTCTCTATTTGCCACGAAGACACCAATGAATCATTTGTTCGTAATAAATTCGCGAACAAAACTTTATTTTCAGCGTTTCTCACGGGGTTCGTTTCAATCCTAAGTACTGAGACGTTCCGCAGGTGTCGATACCGTGCTTTCTGCAATTTCCAACGAACTTCCATCCGTCGAAGAAACAATAGCAGCCCTGCCCGAGGGGCGTTCATAGCTGGCACACATCGCCTAAACAATCGCCAACTTTTCCAATAAACGGAGCCCCGGGTTCGCGGATATCGCGGTTGAAACGCGGTTCGATCCACGACGACTGTTTCTGGAAGGCTTGACCCAACTTCGCCGACATGGTTCGCGCGGAAAGTTGAGCGAAAAACCGGCGACGACGGAGCGAAAGTTGAGCAAGTTCCGACGCCTTTGAACCGTGTTCCATCAAACGCCGAATAGAAGAGTAAAAAGCGCGACATTCGTTAACAAGTTTTTCAATTTTTATCAGGGGAATTTTGTTGCGTATTTCTTGGTTCGTTGCGAGGTTTGTCCTGGAACCGATGACGGAATCATTTCGGAAGTTTACTGTAATTTTACTAAACGAGTTTATGATAATTAAGTTGTGGTTTATAGATTAGAACAGGTAAGTGAATATAACGAGTATTTTTATAGAACAAAAGCTGTATGATGTTGACATTTTTATTGTTTATTATTGCGTAGATTGAGAATCTTGAGGGATAAAAGTGTCAACGATATACGAATTGTAAGAGAGCCTTTATTAATAATCACGGTAGACATACGAGGTTGGTTACTTCTGAAAGTAGGAATGTTAAGTCGAAGTTATTTCTGAAAGTAGGAATGTAGAAGTCGATGGTAAAGTTTTCCTTAGTGTAGGATTGTTGAAGTTAAAGTCGTTTACCAGATCAAGAATCTGAAAGTTAAGAACGGTGCGGGTAAAAAATGACAAAAATTGCCTTCACGTAATAAACGAACGCCGTCTAACAAAAAAATGCCCTTCCTCCGACCACGGAACAGTGAAAAATAAATCTTCTCTCACGCACCCACAGAACACAGTCCGCCAAAAACATCCAATTCTACCTGTCCCAACAACTCCAATGTTCTTTCCACTTCTGCAGAACTTTTCTTCCAGTTTTTCCCCGTCGTCGTCGTTAACGTTGTTCGGAACAAGGGGGAGAACCGACAGAAAGAAGCGTATAGAATGAATCGCCGTGTCCGACGCAAAGAAAACTCGATTCGAGCAGGGAAATTAATTTCCCATTAGGTTGACGCGCGAAGATTAATCACGCGGAGTAAAGGAGCCAGCGTTCGCGAACAGCTCGCGCGACTCGGACGCTGGGGGTTGAAAAATCCTGTTAAAAATAGCCGCAGGATCGATACGCGGGGGTGGATCCCACGCGTACACCTGGGAGTCTTGCTTCTTCGAAGATTCTCAGACGCCAGGCGTGAACGGAGGTCTTAATGTCGGACACAGGAAAGATACTATCGGATGTCATGGAATCGCGTGGAGTTTAAGTGCACGCTTACTACTCGAGGGGGTGGTTTTGGTTTGAATGATTGAATATTAGAGGTTTCCCGGAATTTTGTTTTTGGGGTAAAATGGTTGGAAATGTTAGAAGATGGTATTGTAAAATTAATACGAAAGTAATGCGAAGTGTAATACGAAATTTTGTATTTTGTAATGCGACACGATTTTTATGTTATAGTTCAGAATTTTAATATTAACGTTATTGATAATTTAAATATGATAGTGTATTAATGCGAAACTGAAATGTTTCATGTAAAATTACAAACTTTCATGAATGCTTGAGACTTTTATTTTTTAGAAGACCATTATATCACGCCAATTAATTAACAATTTCCAAATAGAAATATGCTACGCACAGAGAGCTATATTTACCTGTAATTTCTGCTTGGAGTCAGTCGGATGAAGTGGCTCGGGTCCAGCCTTCCCCTGGTCGCCCTGAAGACTCTCCACATTCTTCGTTCGAATGAACTTCCCAATGAGCTCCAGGCCCTTCTCCCTATCCAATTCCAGCTTCATTTTTCCTAAAACAACAAAAATCACAAATTCCGTAAGCAAAGAAATATATTTTCATAACGTTAACATAATTATTCCTCGAAACTATTTTTATTTATTTATCTCCTTTTTATTGAATAAAATAAACCTGTTCATGTAGTCCATCATCAATGGACATAGTAAATCTGTCTGTAGTCGCATGTTTCTACGTAAAATACCACGTTTGATTATACTTGTCGAGGATAATAACTCTGCACGAGGTCAGATATTTATAAGTAGTGTAAGTCCGGACAGAGTCAGACGCGAGTAAATTCGACGAAAATATGTACAATCCGTAGAATGAGGATGGAAATAGCCAGACGCTACAGTGCCAGTCACAGAAATTCATCTCTCTTACACAGGGTGTCTCACAAATATAAAGAGGAAGCGAAAATATAAAGAGGACATTTTTATAAAGAAAAGAAATGATTTTAGGAGTGGAGGGAAAGAGATTATGGGAATAAGAAATATGTTCGAAGAAAGGTCGCAGATGTTCCAGAAGATGGGATTATTCCAAGGGATAATCGGTCGCAACGAAAATTCTATCCTGAAAAGCACCCGTAGCTTTGCTCGAATAAATTATTCGGAGAACCCTCGGCCGAAGAAGTAGCTCCGGCTTGGATGAAAATTACCTGCTAATGGAATAGCTTAATATTGTCTGATCACTTAACGGAACACTCTACTGTTCGTATAAAATATACATTGGCGTTTCGGTGCTTATACAAATTCAGGTGAACGAAAACCAAGGGGAAAATAAACAAATTCAATTCTCGAGGAGCTATATAATTTATTGACGGTGTGCTTGTGTTAGAAATTAAACGTGGAATTGAAAAATGGATGATCTAATTACGTTAACCGTGTTACGATATGCACTTCCTAAATTCATATTTCGAGAAAACTTGGAAAAAATGAAGAACACTGAAGAAAATTGAAAGAAAATTGAAAAAAATAACTTCAGATCCTGTCCCCCTCAAAACGGAACAGCATCACTTGAATTCATTTCTTTTTACCCCCAAATGTAAACGAGCTCTCCAAAGTGGCTACCTTTTCACTCCCCAAACCATCCCCAAACCATCCATTAATTTATTTGTCAATGCCAAAAATGTAATAACTTCCAGCGTTTCATTAGTACGCCTCCACCGTTTGCGGATTTTCATTTAACTCGATTCCCAAGCAGAAAGTGCCGGGAAAACTTGCTCGCCACCCAGTTATATTTGAATTGCCAACGTGATACGCGTAATTTACCACTCACAATCCGCCCTATCCCACCCCTCGCAACGATGACGGGGATCGAGGGAAGGGGTTGAGACCTGGAATCTCCACGGAGGATCGCGCCGATCCCCGGCGCCGTTGAAACTTCCGCTGGTCTGTGTTTCTTCAGGGGTTTGCGCGCTCCGGGGGGTTGAAATACTCGATCGCGCGTCCAGGGATGGGGAGAAAAAATTCTTGGCGACGGGGGCGTGCCGAAGTCGAATAAAATTTGCATAACATTAAGCAGAAATATTCTTCCCCTCTCGAGAGCGCCATCGTGAGAGCCATCGGCGGTGCCTCGACTACTCCCGGACGTACTTTAAACTGCGATGCATCGATAAGCGATTTTACGACCCCCCTTCTTTCGCGAGCACGCATTCGTTTTGTTTTTTTATTGCGTTTGCGACAATTCTTGGGAAGCGGAGCGTTGTGCTTTAATGTCAGAGAAATTTGGCGAGCTTTGAGAGATCGCACTGGTGAAAGTTTAATAAAATGTGGAAATTTTAATAAATATTGAGAAGCACTGGTGGGAAAGAGCGATGAAAATTGTGACAAGAAAAATAAAGAAATCTGAAAGAAATGAAAACAAAAGAAATTGAAGAAAATTGAAAGTAAAAGAATGAAAGAAATCGAGCACAGCTCAAGAAAGCTGAAACCGATTGAAAAGATTCCACGTGCTATTTTCTTATATAAAACTCTCGAAGGTACGAGCCACGTGTTAATGTTAAAATTGAGAGCTCAAATTTTGCAGAAATTTTTTGTTACGTATTTGCGAGGTATCTACGGGGTTGCGTAACGTAGATTTGAAAAATCGTCGAAACAGGGATCATCCTGCATGCATAAAATCCTAGAGACCGAATAATGGAAAGAAATATCAACACGTCCAGGCTGTCATTCGGCTTTTCACAAAATCCTCAAAGTATACTCGAGCAAATAGATCCACGTACGTGCCTGTTATCGAGAAAACTCGAGGGCGAATGGGACAACGAGACGGCGCATACTGACGAGCCATTTTTGTGGCTCGTTACCGCATAACCAGAAAATCACGTCCAGTACCCCGTACGGCGCGGGTGGAAACTCGACTAACGCGATTATTTTCTGCGCGGTCGTATGCATGCATAAACCCGCCGTGTTCCATGAGCTGTAAAATTACGAAACGTTCTCGCAACCCTGAATATTCCCCGGTTGTGTTTAATTATAATTTTAATTTTGATTGCGTTTCGCGCGCCGCTCTTATCTACCCCATGAAAATACTGACTGGGTGGAGAAGTAACGACGAAGAAAAAAAAAAAGGAGAAAACTCCGCACCTGAGAAAATCGCCAGACCCTAGACTACCGGCTTGTCGAACGGAAGAGAAAGCCTGTATTTCTTTCGTATCCGATTAAAGTCAAAATTATAATAATAACGAGATTATAAGAATTTTTAAGAGAAAAGAAATTTTGTAATATATTCGGATATTATTATTTCATATGTTTTCGACTCTTAATATTTATATATATTTATGAATTCAAATATACATATTCAATATTAGTATACACATATATGATAAATAAATATATATTTATAAATATAAGTAAGATAATTGTCATAAGTGAAATTGAAATCATATTAAACAGTGATACCTGAAGAAATAATACTTAAATTCCAACATGTCAAAATATTAAATATGACATAGTACAAAATGCCTTCCACGTGTTTAATTATAATTTTTCAATATATTAATACGCGTACCTGTGCTGCATGCATAACTGCAATTACTCCTAGAAAAACCAAAGAAAAATATAATTTTTGTTCTGTCGCGTTACTACGCGTTCCAATCTGTCGCTACTCGCGCAAGGGTCGCGCGTGGAACACTCGACAAGGGTCTCTAAAATGTCAGACTCCAAGAAAAGCTGTTTCGGGACGTCCAGGTAAAGTCATTCAGACGCTAAAAATACGCAAACCCGAGGCCGTACGGGCACGTTGATTTCCGTGAGATCGATAGTCTCGAACGTTGTTGAATCGTGCTTGTTACCGGGCTCAATCGCTAACAAGAAGCGAGGTAAAGCGAGCGTGACACTAACAGGTCCATTCAACAGTCACGCATGAATGTTTCAAAGGCTGATAACCGCGAAATATCAGCCACCGGAAGCTTCGTTTCGCTTTAATTCTCTCCACTCTTTCATCTTCGTTCCTACAAAATACTTTTCACCTCTGTAGTTTTCGATATCTCTCTGACGATATACGAAATGAATTATTCTACGAAAACGATAGTGTGTTCCTTGATACTTGTAAAAGAAACAAAAAAATATTCCCACAGCGATAAACAGTTGTTCCCCAAGTTCCGCGCGAATGACCACAAGAAACGAAAACAGCACCATACTTTCGTGCCGTTCAACCCTCGCGAAGGGGATGCTTCGAAGAAATGGAAGAAATCAACGGAATGGCGTGGACCGTAGCGGCGAAAACTCGGCATTGTTCCCGGTTATGGCTGCCCCGGGCAAGATCAAACGCTGCTTGAGAGACGGAAATATCTTTTGTCCCGATGGCGGAACAGCCAGGCTTGGAACTGCATTCAAAGCCTGCGGCTGCGATTGGCCGCCCAAGGAAGCACCTCTCTAGGAAAAAAAAAATCTCCAATTCCTCCTGCGCTGATCGAGTAATTGTTCCCTGGTGGCTCGTTTTACAGCTCGGTTTCTCCAATTTCCAAAGACTTATCTGGTATTGTCGGGTTGGTTAATAGAGTTTGTTGTTGTAGGCCTCTCAATTTTGATTGCAAGGTCGCGGATGGTTCTGTAGGATTCGTAGACTCGAACTGTTCTATGGAACTCGAACTGAATTGCGAAAGAAGGGAGGAGAAGAGGGAGGGAGGGTTGTAAGAATTTTCTGGAAAGGGTTTTGCTTTCTAGTAATGATGCAGATTCGCAAGAAATTTTAGAAGCACTAATTAAAGTCAATTGAACTGTCAGGAGCAAGGAGGATCTACTTGTTTTGTCTTTTTTTTTATTTCATGTATTTGCTTATTTCTCTGTGTGGCCATTTCCTTTTTCTTACATCAAATATCCTGAATTAAGTTGAAGGTACTTGTGAATGTAGGAATGCAATAGCTGAAGATATTTCTACGGGAATGTTGAAGTTGAAGTTTCATACGAAATCAGAAATGGCGAAGTTGATGTCGAAGCTGCTTATAGAAATAGAACGACAAATCGGGGTTTACTGGATGGACCAACTCGAGCGGTGTTTTCTAATTCTGCGAACGCTTTCGAGATCTGTCGCATGTCGCGGGTCGTTAAGCTGATCGACGATCGCAATTTCGATTCAGCTCCGGTGCCTTTAATCCAGCAACTGGAATTGGTTATCCATTACACGTTTAACGAGGTCGCCGCTGCAAGAAACGATATCGCACAGGTATGGATTTATTTACAGCGCGTCCGGTGGGCTCGCGGACGTCCCAATTTTTGTTCGCCGTTTTCATCCGTCCCCTGAATATTCGGGGAGGATAAAGAAACTTTTTCCGTTTGGACACGTGGACCAAAAAGCATGCAATCCTACCAACGATTTCGCTGGAGCGAACCTTTGACAACGAAAGAGATTGTTGCTTATGAAACTAGATATGCTCGTGATGTAGCAGGAATATACGTGAAAAGAAACGTCAACTCGTACGATCCTGATTAGGCAAAAATGCTTCCACTTCAACTTCAACGTTCCTATTCTCATGAACGACTTTAACTTCATAATAATTCCTACTCCCATAAATAA